CCCCAAAACCCCAAAACCCCAAAACCCCATTAAAAGTTATTTTTATTGAAATATTTGAGCAATTAATATAACTTATCTTGGGATTGTTAAGGGAACATAGGATTTGATCCAGCCTTTTCGCATAAGTTTTTATGCATCTGGTACTTTCTGTTCTTTCCAAGTTGTTCCATAAATGTCTGGTTTAGCATATCTTCCTCAACCTCAAAATTATCGATTTCTTCATATCCATGATCGTAGGTTCTTTGCATGACAGGGTAGCCATCTTCATCCTGAAGGACTTCGACACCCTTCTTCTTTCCCTTGCCTTTCTTCTTTTTATTCTTCTTTTTATTTTTCTTTTCTTTCAGAGCTTCCATGTAATCAACAGCTTCGCTTTCTTTCTGGAAATTATGGTATTCTAGCTGATCTTTATCCATAAATAAGATTTGGTTCAGGTTTGTACCAAACTCTGCTCTCATGTTGCCATTATAACTAGAGTCTTTTACTGAGTCTGTCTTTAGGCTTTCAAGCGGGTTCATGTCAATTGTGAGGATCTTCTCCACTGTTTCTTGTATATCCCTTCTCTTATTAAGCAAATTCGCAGGGTTATTCTTGAAGTCATCTTCTAGCTTCTTACGCTTCTTTTCCTTCTCTTGTTCTCGAAGTTTACGTTTGTCTTCCTTCTCTTTCTCTTGTTGGTCAAGTTCTTCTTGGTCAACATTGAATCCGTACTGGGCTTCTTCCTCGTCATCTGAGTCTAGGAACCTTCTTTGACGGTCACAGTCAACATCAAAGCTGTTCTGACTCAGACTTGAGTCGCTTTGGCTTTTGTCACAAGTTGCACTTGGATCTGTCTCATTTCGAAATTTGTGTGGACAGATATATCGTTCAAGGTAATCTCTTAAGACCTTCCTCTTAAGTAGATCTGAAAAGTTGTCAATGATTTCTTCAAGTTTTTGAAGTTTTATCTTGAAGTCCTTATGTCTTCTCGCCTTTTCACTAGAAGTTTCACCAAATGTGAGATAGATGAGTCTTTGAATTTGGTCAGAACTATCATCAAATTTCTTTATCTGCCTTATCAATACTTTAAAGGATTCAAAGTCTTCATCAGAGAGAATCTCTTTAAGCTATAATGTAAGAATCACAGAACTTACTGGTTCTCACTCATCTGTGTATTTCTCCATCTCAGAGATTTCTTTCTGGAGAATTTCTTGATCTGCCTTTGCTGCTGAGGCAGCTTTATCTTGCTCTTCTCAAATTGGTAATTCTTCAGATTTTACCTTTGCTTTCTTGATTTCTTGTTCCTTCTTGATCTTGTTCTCAACTTTAATATCTCTAAAGATTTCCTTCTTGTTTGTACTGAGGTCTTCTTGGCCTTTCTTCATTTGGGTGTCATCTAGGTATCCATATTTGGCTCTAAACTCCTTTGCTGCTTTCTTCACAGACTGATTTATCTCATTGAAGTACTCTTCAGAGTCAGCCTTGGGATAGTTGAACTTCAGCATATCGTACCGAAGAGTTTTAGGAGCGAAGCTCTTTTTCATGGTTTTGAAGAAGTCCTGAAAGATCTTCTTATTTTTGTTAATATCATCAAAAGTTTTGACAGAATGCTTTAGCCAATGGCTAAACTGGTTCTTCTGTTGAGCATTCATGTATCTTTCATCAAGGAGAATGATGTTTCCATAGTCACCCTTGTGAGAGACCACCCTTCCAATGGCTTGATTTACAGCTCTTGTCGACTGGAGTAAATACCATTTTTGACCATTAAGGATGTTCTTTGATTTCTTTACCAGTTTCATTTTGTCTAGGTATTCCTTCTTTAGGTATATTTTTGGGTCTCCCAAATTTGGAAAAGGAATTCCTATTTGAATGATTGTTCGACAGGTTTCATCTGAAAGATCTATCCCTTTCATTATATCACCTGATGTGGTAGCCATTAGGAGAGCTCCTGTGCTGAATGCTGTCTTATAGAATCCTGAAAGAGTCTCGCTATATCTCTTTTCTCGTTCTTGTTCAATGAAGATCCTCTTGTATTTCATAATATTGTTGGAAATTGCCAAAGAGTCCCATTGTGTTGCAATTTGTCTCATGAACCCTGGAGACTGGAATAGCAAGATCACTCCGCCAGGAGTGATCTTGCAGACCTCTAGGATTGTGGAGCCAAGATCTTTCGCAATTATCCTATTGTCTCTTTCCTTGTACGAAAAGTTGAACCCTTTGCCTTTAGTTGATTTCTTCAAGATTGAGATCATCACTTGTTCCTTGGAAATAACGTGATTTGATTCTAGCTGTACTGGGAAGGTTGTCTGCAATTCCTGCTCATAAGAATAAAAGGGAGTCAAAGTGTAAGAAGTTAGGATTATGCATCGTGGTTTGTGATTAAGGATCTTCTGAAAAGAAAGTGAGCTGTTGAATCACCAAAATCATATCTTCCTGGTTTCTCAAAGTTTATGATGAATTTGAGGAGTAGTTAGCTTCTTAATTTCATTGTAAGGCAACCTCTCTTGTGTAATCGAAAGGTAATAGTTATCAATATCTCTTGCCAGTACAGCATCTTTAGGATTTGTAAAGTTCATATTCGCTGTTTGCTTATTATTTAGCTTATACATATTAATAACGATCTTTATACAGTTGTACCATTTCTCAACAAATGAGAAACTTTCAGGGTTGTAATCGAGAGCAATATCTGCAAGGACATTCTCAAACGTTGTTGTCCAAAACTGGAATGTTTTAGGTGATATTCCTTCATAATCTGCTGGATTCATCCCATGCTCAGATGCTTTGAACAATATCTCAAACATTTTACTACCTGCATACGTGGATTGACCATCTTTCATTGCTTCTAAATTATGATTCATAGTGCTTACTGCTAAAAAGTTTATCCGAGTCATTCAGGTCAAAGGTCTTAATATAATCTCTGAAATTCTGAGTTAAAATCTTGACATTCTCAACATCTGTAAGGGAACAGGTGAACTTTTCCTTATCCGCTTTCTTTGCTCTATTGATTCTTTGTTCTAATCCTGATAGTTCTGTGGTACAGTGCTTTAGGTCATCAAGACTGAGCTCAAAACTTGAGATCTCTTCTCACTTATGCTCTATGTTATGAGCTTCATCAAAGATAATTATGGCGTTTGTTAAAGACACTCTGTAATTCTGAAACTGCTTGTGGTCTATCAAATATGCATATGGGATGAATATGATATCAGCATCTTGAAGCTTAATCTTTTCAAGGTAATATGGACAAATAGATTCCTTTGCTGCCATTTGATGGAGATCTTCAATATCCTGAACCTCCCAATTTTGCTTAATATCTTCTTTCCTATCATTTGTATTCTTGAAGTACTTGCAGGATACTTTTTCATCAGTCGAGGTCCGGATCTGCTTACATTTGGAATTAAGAGTTGCACCACGATATTTGTTGACTTTGGGATTTGAGCAAAGGTTATCTCTCGATCCGATAATTGATATTTTAGGCTCATAAACAGTCTTTTTGAGTTCACTAATAGCATCATTGATCAAATCATGACTGCTTGTACAATATACTATTTTCGCTTTATCCTTAATTCCTAAGTTTGCTTGATTCTTTCGTTCTCTCTTAAGCCAAGCTAAGGCTGTTCAAAGTATTGAAAGTGTTTTGCCTGTCCCTCTTGGACTTTCAAGGATAGCATTTGCTGAGGTTTCTCAAGAGTCGAGCACTATATTTTGAGATCTATAATCTTACTCTTCTTCATATATTCCGTCTGTACGGCAAATGGTTCGAAAGGAAAGTAGATATCAAGATCATCAATAATGATTTTCTGGTGATACTTCAAGATCTTCTCATTGACTAAAACAATGAGTTTATGAAACTTACTCTCAATAAACTCGCTAATTGGCTTGGTTGTTGGCTTCTTTTTCATTTTCCTTAGAGACTTCTTAGGAGGCTTTCCTTTGATGATCTTCTTCTTTGGTTTATCCTTTGTTTCTAACTCTTTCTTGATACATTTATTGGAGGTCTCTTTGTTAGTAGCCTGCTTTTCATTGTCCTTTACTTCTTCATGGGTTGTTTCCTCTTTGATTTTATTTATCTGTTTTTTATCTCTCTTTTTGAGCTTAGGTTCTACTACCTCTTGTTTAACACCCTTATCCTCCATTTCTCTTCCAACCCTTCTAAAAATCCCACTGCTTATGTCCAACTCACCACTTATATGAGCCTAAGTAAACTAAGAGTGTAATCCATTTCAATTATTGTACTCAAGTTGGGGTTTTGGGGTTTTGGGGTTTTGGGG